ACCAGATTTTATAATATTTTCTGATAATCAACAACAATGTCTACTCTGTAGAAATTAAGAACCTAATTAAGAACCTACTTAGCCTAAACTGTCAATAAGTAACCCATAATACAAGGACCTGTTTTGACAAACTCTGAAAAAAGTAGGTTCTTACACGCGGGTTTTTACTGTATCCCATCTTGTAAATATAATATTTCATGTTAAYTATAATGTTGTGAGAGCTTTATTTAATACATAGGGGTTTTCTCTTAAATTCTTCACATTTCTATTGTTTTTGTAGTTTCTAATGTTTAAAGGGAACGAGAACACCAAGAGACGTTACTGCCGTGYTGCTTCTCCTGCCTGGCAGTGATCTAGTAATTTCTGTTTTCCTCTTTTCCTKTCTACCCTACTACTAGGAGAGAAAGAGGAAGCGTCTGGTTGGCATCAACTGAAAGGAGAATAAAACTGTAATTGCCCTATTTCACTATGACGTCACATCAAAACAATCTATTGTTTAAACGCAAAGGATCATGGTCGTCGGACGGGGTCAAATCAACGCAAATTCACCGAAAATTGTTCTAAAACCCGTATCAATCCACGAAGAGAATTAGAATAGCCAGCAAACGCTCAGAATATATCTTAGTACATATTAACACATATTATATCTGAAAACCAGGCCATTTTAGATTAAACGGTTTCGCTAGGAGCAAATTTTGTCGAATTTTCTATTGGATTTGGCGATTCTATCCTCTACATAAACAAGCAGTGACGTCATAGTGAAATAGGGCAATTATCGAGCCCTTCTGTAAAAAGTAATACCGAAAAACCTTGCTATTGCATGTCTAACGCTCGCAAAAGCAGTAAAAGCCGTAGTAAAAAATATTTTATTAGCAGGATACAGAGCTGAAAGACTCGTTTTTTTTTAAACCAAACACACCTTGTCGCCTTTAGGCCATTGTACACGAGGATAGATAACCGATAGATGTCCGAGGTTGTATCATTAGTTCTCATTTTACCTGAACGAGTCGCTCCCTAATTTTCTTGATAAACAAGTTTTCTTTTTACAATTCAAAACTATTAGCAAGTTAASCTATATGTATATTTTGCAGTTCTTGGGTTYCCTGTGGTGTTGGTTATTTCCAGTGCTCCTTCCACTTATGTCACAGGGACAACGGCTGATGTACTTAACCAGTTATTAATTCGAGCCACGAATTCTTGAAATYAATTACAATTAATTTATCTTTTTTACAATATACCTTGGTTATTGACTCATTCTTCGTGTCCCTTGAGAAAGCCTAGCTTCGGCAYTTTTAGTATTGCCATTTATAGACGAAGTAGTGTAGTTCAAATCATAACGATTATTTTATATTTATAAATTAAAATATTTCATGTCCAGGTTCCTGTGGAATAGTCTAGGACGTGGGTACTGGGCACGACATCTAGATAGGTTTATCAGGAAGGGGTAGGACGGTTATTCCTATTGTTTCTGRATGTATCGCGTTGGTGTAGTTTTCTACGAAGTGTCCATGTCTTGTTGCATGAGGTCCTCGTATGGCTGGCGATGGTGTGTTGACGGGCCGTAATCTTTGAWATACATTCCTTCTTTTTAGCCTCATTGCACGAAATGACAGGCATAGCGCTACAGATGAAAGCACGGCTGTGGTAGCAAAGCATCCAGCGAGTAACAACAGATATGGTTTAGAAATCATGGATTTGGAGCTCGATTCATTGTTATCCTCGAGTTTGCAGTCACCTGCACTGCAGTCCTGTTCGCATCGTCTTGCCTTGCACACGAACGAACACTTGCCAGACAAACACCGCTGTACACAAAAACCCACGCCAYTAGTACATTCCATAGCGCAACCATGRCAACTCTGAATRCATGTCCCGGATGAGCAGCTTATTTTCTGACATGGATGTTGTCCACACATTTGGGTACAGCCTTTAAAAATGTGCTGCCCGTCACGTCCATTGCATTCGCAATTCGTTCCGTTGCATTTTTGGATGCACCGGTCTTCGAGAATGGAGCTGCAATGGGTTGATGATGTCACTGAGTCCATGGCCAATAGGAAGGAGGTGATGAAAAGCACGTGGTGAGGCTGCATTATTGAGAGGGATGTTAATCTGAAATATAACAAGAAAGACGTTTTCTAAAGGGCTGAACCTTTGTCTCAGTTCTAACTAATGTCGAAGTGGTCTCTACCTTTCAGGGTTTATGAGAAACAATAGACCCTTCTAGCTCAAGAGCATCATGAATGCAAGGCGCTAGCATGGAAATGCAAAAGAAATGCCACAAATTCCATCGAAAAAAGCGTGATTTCTTTCGTATTTCCATGTGACCCTCGCATCTACGATGCTTGGGAATTGTCCATTGCTTAKTTTATGGGGGATAGAAGCCAGCAGTAATTATAGTCATAGCATGCACGCGCTTGCGAATCACATCTGTAAAAGAAATAATTCGATTGAAACATTCAGGAATGTCAAGTCAAGTCAAGTTCAAGCTGAGAGGAAAACCTTCAGTATAAAAACTGAACCCCCCCCAAAAAAATTTAAGCAAATGATAAAATAAATTCAAGATTTGGTCAAAAGATTTTCTTTTGCCTT